CACGTGGAGATCTTTGTCTTTTGTTTGATTATACTTCATGTAAGGTTCCACACTGTAGCTGTTCTTTATGAGACAGTAAGTTAGTAGTTTTGGTTTATACCGTAAACATAAACATACGAGACATTTCACTCCTAATCTCCTGAATATCACAGGTTAACCTGCTCTGGAAAATAAATGACGAATTGTTCAATTTCAGCTCATCAGCCCGGGGATGACAGTCGAATGTGTCTCAATTAAAAGTCTTTTCAGTGAGTCTCTGATCCAACATCTTCACAAGTCTACTCCAGAGCCAAGGCCTGATGCTTGGAGGTTCCCATCTCATATCTCCACTAATGGGCAAAATTGAAATAAATTTATGGACACCCAGGAAAGATCAAATCACTCTATGATAGGGCTGCACGATATATCGTTTGAACATCACCATCGTGATGTGCGTATGTGCAATAGTCCAGTAGTGTTTTCTCTTTTTTTAGAACATGTAAACTTTTGTTTTGCTTCAGAAAAGCAGCTCTGAAGAGAGCTCCTTGCGCCGCTCACCTCTCTGAGCACTCAGCAGCCCCTCCCCCTCTCATGCACACACTGCAGTCACACACTGAAAGTGAGTGACATGCAAGAGGGAGAAACGGTAACGGAGGATTTATGCCTGGTACACACTACACGACTTTCCTGCCCGTTCTGATAGTCACTATGTCACATTACACAATTGCGGAGTCATAAAATCGTGTCGTGACTTTGCCGACAGACATGACACACTACACGATGGTACAATTATCCCCGGCCGTCTTTCACAACGTGTGTGATGTCATCGGGTTATTCTTGTCCTATTTTTATTACTTTTACTATTATTTGAGTCACTGTGTCTGTTCATGTGCCAGCCGACATGTTGTTGTAGTAACGTAAAAAGCGCCGGCAGATGGCAGGAGCTACATTTGACGTACCATATGCAAACATAGAAGTCACCGACTCCTCCACAACAAGTTCCTATTTTATTTCACAATAAAAGCCTGTTTAGAAAATGAAGGGATTCACTCAGCTGAGGTTATAAGGGGCTTTTAATTTAAAGGAAAATCAGGAAGTGTTGAGTTTGAAATGATGACGCGATTTGTTAACTTTATGAAGACAACAGGAGCAGATGAAAAGTAAAAATATAAAGATACAGAGGGATTAATAAATAACGGACCGTCTATTATGTAGTCTGTTTCAAATGAAGCTGGTAGCCTCTGCAGTTGTGGTGAGTAAAAGCCCCGACACTATTTTTTAATTTTCTTGCTTTAAGTCATCTGGTGAAAATTCTTGTATTTTTTAATATCACATTATATATTGCAAAAAAAAAAAAAAAGATCGCAATGTCAGTTTTTTCCAATATCGTGCAACCCTCCTCTATAAAGCTCACTCCATAACTTTATACACACCAAAAGTGATGTGTGCACAGTATATGCATGTGTGCACAACACTGTACAACAGTACATGTACTTGATTAAAGCAGTGACCTGGTATCACCTACAGTTTGTTGTATGGATTTGTAAAGTCAGGTTACTCAGCTGTCATTAAGCATTACAGAAAGTGAAAGCACTTTCCGGTGGCCGTGTGAGAGCAGTGTTAGAAGAGGGAGTGTAACACCCTCATAGCATTAATTCAAAATAGATCTGACCTTTAAAATGTCCTCACTTTACCAGTTTGACTTGATTCACCTGCTGCAAGTGAGTTATTTCCTTAAACTAGATTTCACAGTTGTTCCTTTTTTCTCACATCTCTTCAACTTTTGGCAGGCATTATACCTGATCGCCACAAACGGCACACCCGAGCTCCAGAACCCAGAGAAGCTGTCTCCGGTCTTCAGAGATTTCCTCAACCGTTGCTTGGAAATGGATGTAGAGAAAAGAGGCGGAGGCAAAGAGCTGCTGCAGGTTAAAACCTCCTCCTGTTGTTAGATTGTTTTCATTTGTATATATCGTGCACTTGATTAAATGATTTTCCCTTCTCCCCTCCTCTTGATATTCAGCATCCGTTCCTGAAGCTGGCGAAGCCCCTCTCCAGTCTCACACCTCTAATCCTGGCAGCCAAGGAGGCCATGAAGGGCAATCGTTAGCTGATGAACCTAGCTACCCTGCCTTCCCATGCTGTGCACAGATATGTGCCAACCATTTAGATTTCGTGCCAGACAATAGGCTGAGAGTGACTTTCCACTCTTGACGCACCAGCCTTATAAGCCCTGACAAACCTCACTGTGAAGAAGACCAAAAAATATAGAGCACAACTCCACCGCTGTCCATATGAACTCTATTCTCACTCAGAAGTCAGAAGACAAGTCAAACTAAAGTGCTTAGAGTCGGGCGTAGTTATTTTGTACAACAAATCTCCTGGTGACAAGTTAGGGCTAGGCTTGTATTTAACTTGGAATGAAGAAGATGCCTAGTTCTATTTAGTTTTTTTAATCAACTGCCTTAAACAAATGCAAAATGTTGCCTAATGTATTGTTGATTGTGTCAATGTTTCTCTTCCCATGATTTTTACTACCTTTGTAATTTACCTTTTCAGCGTGTCAGTGTCTTAGTTATTTTGATACTTGAATTTCATATTTGTCCCCCTTCTTGTGATATAGTTGGTCTCATTCAATGAACACTCTTGCTATTTCCACATTGACTCGTGTTTTATGGACATTTTTCTCTGACGGTTTTTATAGGAAACATTTCAGTACATTCGTGATCAGGAACAACATGCTGTGATTGTGTCGTTCTTCGATTGCCACACCTGACAGACCTACTGTACCAGTTCGTCCCCTGTTTCATTAGTCTCCTGATACCAGAGGTGCACCTTACAGGCAAATTAAAAAATGTTAGATTGACAGGGTTTATACTTTCTTCTTTATTGTTGTTATTAAAAATGAGTATTGTATGTTGAACTCTGTCCTTTGTGTTCTTCTGAACTAAACAAATGCGCTTCACCCATGTGTATATTGTGTACTTGATGTTTAGTTTGAAAAAAAAAGTGGCCATATCTCCGTGGTTAGCTGTCGAAGGCTGGTTAAGACAATTTGTTGACTGTTTTTTTTTTCTTTTGGGCGACTAACAACCTTGTCTGCGTACTCAAATAAATGCAACTGTTCGTGCTTTTGGGATTTAAGCGTGAAAGTGATTGTTGTGTAGTGATGTCACCTTGTATAGACAGACAAGACTAATGTGAGTGGTGCAATATAGCATCATCATCCTCCTGCATCCTAATATGAGGACTTTGGGATTGCTGCACCTTATGTATCATTCTGCTTAATTTAGACCTGTTGTCCTCATTCATAGACACTAACGCTATCTAGTGGTAGAAATCCAAGTAAAAACATGGCGGCCAAGTCCATCTACATGTGATCCCGACACAAAAGTGGACAAGGTACAAAATCTGCTCACATTTTATGGTTCATTTTATGGTTATGGCACACACATTTGACTTATTTTACGACCCTGTAAATTAGAAGATACTCATTTTAAGACATTAGGACTTTGTTGTGTTATGGCAGCATTTCACACAGGCCAGTCAGGTGCCTGCAGATAAAATAACATTGCTAGCTTGGAGTATGGAGCAGGGAAATATTCCTACAGAGTAAACAAAATATACAAATCCTAAGACTTGTAGATATGTTGCATTATTTGCAATATTTTTGCTTTTGCACAGCCATGTTCAGGCTGTGAAATTAATACCTTTGAACAGTTTCAGACTTAAACAGTGACCCCCAACCAGCTCTGTAAGGTAGTTATGACGGGCCCCAGTGCAGGCTAATGTGAGGGGGCCCTCCTGCCAGGTAGTGACCATGTTTCATCTCGTCTGATCACATGATTAAAAAAACACTTGACATCTGGATGTCATCATGTGTTTTTATTTTTATTTGTTTATTTTTGCTGTGAGCTTCCCACCACTGGGGGCATCCCTGCTGTGAACTGTGAGAGGTCATATAATCAGCCAGGTGAGGCACTCACTCACCATCAGCAACTAGGTGATAGTGACCTTGATTGATAAGCAAAGGGGGTCACTACAACATCAAAATCCATACCACCCAGCAGTCATGATTTCATGCCTGTATATCACAAAAATACCAAAGAAAATAAGAAAAATATTAACTTAGTTGAATAGCTTTTATACATAAGATAACTTTATTTGCCATTTGTACACCTGCGCAGGCTGGGTACATTCTTGTGCAAAAACGCTCAGACTCGAGTCAGAAATAGACAAGTCATAAAAAGTAAAGAATAGTAAAAGATAAAGTTTACACAACGAGGTATAAAAGTATAATAAATACAAGAATATAAACTCCACCTGCAGGGCATTCAGAAAGGTGTTTCACATAAAAGGTACTGCACATTTCCAGTTTTTATTGCACATGAGCAAAGGTAGATGAGAAAGTGAGAACTCTGTGACGTCGCACACAAGGGAGTGCCATCAGTAATGAAGTATAGTTTATAGTTTTTATAGTTTAGGGCCCCCCCACCCTGTGGGCCCCAGTGCAATTGCACCGTCTGCACTGTCTATATGTACACCCCTGCCTCTGACCCATAGATTTACAAAACATCGAACAAATGTTGCATTGTTTGCAGTTTTGTTTTTGCAAAACAATTATCAGATATTGAAATGAAGTATGTATATATACTTTATTACACACTTGTGACAATTTTTTGTTTATTTGTTTTGTTTTGTATTTTCAAAACCTTGTCTGTTAAAAGACAATATTATTATCCCAAATAGCCAGGAGAAATTGCACACCAAAAAGAAGGAGGTTAATAACATCTCCTATCTGTACTGTGTGTTTGAGGTGGACCAAAAAAAGACTCTTTTAATGTCAGTGTAGGGTTAATGGCTTCAAAAGAGGATTCAGATGACAGAGCTCGAGGTTTCTTTATTTTTAAGTTGTATGCTGACAATCATATCTTTTCTTTTTTCTTTTTTTCCATTTTGAGCACAATTTAAAAGTTTCTGAGTTTATCGGGCGCTTTTATTTTGGAGTTCTTACCCGGAAGAGTAACAGTTTTTAACCCCGGCTGAGACTGGGCTGCTGTACTTCCTACTTCCGCTCTAACAAAACTGCTCGGCAACTCCATTTATTTTGTTATCTCTGTGTGTAATGGCTGTTCAACTGAAAGACAAAGACGCGTACCAGAGACTGAACTATCTTTACCAGGTAGGAAGTTAATAATAAGGTGAAAGTTAACGGCTGTCGTGTTGTCGGCAGCAGTCACGTTGCTAACATGCTAGCTGTGCTAATCAGGTGTGCTAATGATTGAACTACTCTGGTTTCATCTCTCTGCAGGCTGCTCACTGTGTTTTAGCACAAAACCCTGAGAATGTGGAGCTGGCTCGTTTCTACTGCTTCACACAGAAGACCATCGCAAGACGTTTAGTGCTCCGACAGTAAGTTAGTCACCTCAGTGTTATTGTGTAGTGTGTTTCATCTGGGGTTGGTTTTATTTTGAAGGATGAATTACAGCACTTTGGGTACATCAACATTATGTTCACACAAAAATGTTCATACCAGGGCTTCATATGCAGAGAGAGAAAAACATAATCATATAATGTATTACTGGCCCACATGACATGAAATATATCAAACACAATAAGTTTTAATTGTCATTTTATTCTGAAGGCCTTTTATTGTGGTGCATTCTTGAAAGTAAAGTCCAAGATCTGGATTGGAGTACACCTACCTCATCTTGTGAATGTCAGATATTCCCAATATTAAAATTTATTTTACAAATAATAATGATAATAATTGTTCCCTATTCATTAAAATTGAAAAAATAAATAAATAAATGTTCACCTCTTGAATGCATATATTTATTCAACATTTAATGCACATAACTGAACATATTCTTTGTGTTTACTCTTATTCTGTTACTGTTTTACTCTATTGATGTACATATTATAGTTAAATTTTCGCATTTTATTTTTAATATTTTAATATCTAAGTACTGGTGTTACACACTGTAGCATAATGCACATTTTATTAGTATTTTTATTGATATTTTCATTGCTATTTTATTTTAGTTTATTGCCAATATTTATATATTTCTATTTCATACTCCTATTCCTACTTCTAAGAATGATCTTTTCTTTACATCAGAGCAACTGTAACGAATCCTCAGGGATCAGTTAAGTATTTCTGATTCTGATTATCTTCAAAGCATAAAATGTCTTCATCAACCCAAAATATTCTGGTATACATACAGTGATAAATGTTCACAGACAATACAAGAATCCTCATCACCAGCTTTTTTTTGTTTTTGAAAGATATATTTGATGGAAAACTATTAAGGGAAACCACCTTAACTTTATTATTAAGACAGAATTTGTCCTTAAGTAGCACAATGTTCTGCCAGTTCATCTCACTGGCATAATGCAAAAGTACACCTCTTGGCAAAGCATCAAAAACCACTACACATTCCTTTGAAGTAACTGGTGAGGTGAATCTTGAGAGGAAGTTGTTATACAAGCAGAGTGCCGTCACTCAGATTGATGATGACTCATTTTGCACCACGTTTGCTTCCTTTTTTTTATTATTATTATTGTTGCACAGGGGTTCATATGTACACAGACATTAATCCAGTTATACAAATCTATTTGGGTGATAATTTTATTTTTCAGGCTTCCTAGTTGATGACATACAGTACAGGCCAAAAGTTTGGACACACCTTCTCATTCAATGCGTTTTCTTTATTTTCATGACTATTTACATCGTAGATTCTCACTGAAAGCATCAAAACTATGAATGAACACATGTGGAGTTATGTACTTAACAAAAAAAGGTGAAATAACTGAAAACATGTTTTATATTCTAGTTTCTTCAAAATAGCCACCCTTTGCTCTGATTACTGCTTTGCACACTCTTGGCATTCTCTCCATGAGCTTCAAGAGGTAGTCACCTGAAATGGTTTTCCAACAGTCTTGAAGGAGTTCCCAGAGGTGTTTAGCACTTGTTGGCCCCTTTGCCTTCACTCTGCGGTCCAGCTCACCCCAAACCATCTCGATTGGGTTCAGGTCCGGTGACTGTGGAGGCCAGGTCATCTGCCGCAGCACTCCATCACTCTCCTTCTTGGTCAAATAGCCCTTACACAGCCTGGAGGTGTGTTTGGGGTCATTGTCCTGTTGAAAAATAAATGATCGTCCAACTAAACGCAAACCGGATGGGATGGCATGTCGCTGCAGGATGCTGTGGTAGCCATGCTGGTTCAGTGTGCCTTCAATTTTGAATAAATCCCCAACAGTGTCACCAGCAAAACACCCCCACACCATCACACCTCCTCCTCCATGCTTCACAGTGGGAACCAGGCATGTGGAATCCATCCGTTCACCTTTTCTGCGTCTCACAAAGACACGGCGGTTGGAACCAAAGATCTCAAATTTGGACTCATCAGACCAAAGCACAGATTTCCACTGGTCTAATGTCCATTCCTTGTGTTTCTTGGCCCAAACAAATCTCTTCTGCTTGTTGCCTCTCCTTAGCAGTGGTTTCCTAGCAGCTATTTGACCATGAAGGCCTGATTGGCGCAGTCTCCTCTTAACAGTTGTTCTAGAGATGGGTCTGCTGCTAGAACTCTGTGTGGCATTCATCTGGTCTCTGATCTGAGCTGCTGTTAACTTGCGATTTCTGAGGCTGGTGACTCGGATGAACTTATCCTCAGAAGCAGAGGTGACTCTTGGTCTTCCTTTCCTGGGTCGGTCCTCATGTGTGCCAGTTTCGTTGTAGCGCTTGATGGTTTTTGCGACTCCACTTGGGGACACATTTAAAGTTTTTGCAATTTTCCGGACTGACTGACCTTCATTTCTTAAAGTAATGATGGCCACTCGTTTTTCTTTAGTTAGCTGATTGGTTCTTGCCATAATATGAATTTTAACAGTTGTCCAATAGGGCTGTCGGCTGTGTATTAACCTGACTTCTGCACAACACAACTGATGGTCCCAACCCCATTGATAAAGCAAGAAATTCCACTAATTAACCCTGATAAGGCACACCTGTGAAGTGGAAACCATTTCAGGTGACTACCTCTTGAAGCTCATGGAGAGAATGCCAAGAGTGTGCAAAGCAGTAATCAGAGCAAAGGGTGGCTATTTTGAAGAAACTAGAATATAAAACATGTTTTCAGTTATTTCACCTTTTTTTGTTAAGTACATAACTCCACATGTGTTCATTCATAGTTTTGATGCCTTCAGTGAGAATCTACAATGTAAATAGTCATGAAAATAAAGAAAACGCATTGAATGAGAAGGTGTGTCCAAACTTTTGGCCTGTACTGTATGTGGAACAGATGTGTCTGTTTGTTCACATCAACAAACCCCATGAAAAGATTAAAACCAACAATGAATTAATACTGCTGTGTAGCTAAAGCCTGATATTGTCAAAAAATCTAATACAAACACACACTGAGCCACACTGTTGCACAGGGTGAAATGCTCCTTTATTACAATGAACATGGGCGCTGCCGTTTATTCTGAGTCAGTCCTACAAACACTGTCCTCCTGCTGTTAACACTGACTGGGGTAACAAATGTATATTAATCCAGCGCTGAAAATAGTCCTCAACAAGTGCACAGTCTCCTCCTGTTTGAGAAACGTTTACTAAAAACAACCAAGCGAGCTGTTGTAGAAAATTACTGATGATTAAAAACTGAATCTAAACATGCGTGACCCATTTTAAAAGATTTGATGCTCCAACAGGAACCAGTGAGCTTAAGGATGAGAGCCAACATCAAAAGTGTTCATTCTTTCAGTGTCTTTCCTGTGCAAACATAAATAGATTTTCAACATCAGTTAATTGTGGATTTTATCGCAGAGACCCGTCAGTGAAGAGAACATTATGCAAGAAATGCTGCTCACTGCTCATCCCTGGTATAACGGCCACAACAAGACAACGACGTAAGTCAATTCATTATGTTTCCCCTGTTACCTTGCATTGCATACTGAGTGTAATCAGCTTGTAGGTGTCCTAACTGGCTCACTGATGTGTTAAATCTCAATATGTATGGTAGATTTAAAGAAACATGGTCAGAGACACTAACTGACTGTCTGTTGTTGACTTTGTGTCGTTAGGCAAAAAAAGAAAGACCCGCTTCACTGTTGTGCGGTGCCTCAGCTGCGGCCAGAGCAAGACGTTACTGAATGATCCAGATTATTGTTTATGGGCAGAGCGTCCGGAGGCTCAGCTGGAGAACCAAAAGCAGCCAGGTGACAACCCTCAACTCTACACGACACACCAGCCTCACAGAGGATGCTCTCCATACACATAAGACCCGTTTCCACCGAGCAGTACGGTTTAGTTCAGTTCGTTTCCACCCGTCCCCATGTTTGGTCCCCCCTCTGTTGGGGTACCTAGCACACAGATCTGGTACTAAAAGGTGGAGCTGTGAACACTGCAGTCTGATTGGTCAGTAGAGGACGGTCACTCTGCTCAGGGCTGAGTTGTGTCTGGTTTTGAGGCTCATGTAACCACTGTTCATACTGTGGAGAGTTTTATTAGTAAACTGTAACTATAAAATGAAAGGATGTTTTGCTGCCTCTCACAGCAGCTGGAGTCTGAGAAAAGATAACTCAGTTCACTAGACTTACTGCTGGCAACTTTTAAGGTGGAATGTTAACTTATGACAGCTTTGACCATCACTTTAGTTTTTGTATGACATACACTTTTAGTAATGAGTGGATCCTCAAGCGTTAATATATATATAAATTTCAACTGGGTTATGTGAAGTGCATATATTCTAATCTTCACTCAAAAAAAAAAGCATAGTGGAGCGTTGTTCCTGTGGGCTACAGCAAAACTAAAGCCCTGAGCTTGCCTGAGAAGGACTAAAAGCACAAAGCTGCTATTTTTAAATATCCCATGGAGAGAGACTCTCACTGCAGCCTGTTCTATTTTGTTCTGAATGTTCGTTCTGTGGACGATAAACGAGGTGCAGACTGATAAAGGAGGAAATACAGCGAGTGCTGGACGGAGCAGTGAGTGACAACAACCCCGCCCACATTTAAGAGTACTGTCTGTGGTGGAAATGCTAAACAGACCGAGGGTCTAGGTACCATGTCTGAAGGGTTACTGTTGGTTCCAAAGGTACCATACCGAAAGTGTTTGGTGGAAACGAGGCTGTGCTTATTTAAACAACACTCTAGCTGAAGCATCAAGATTTGTAGCATGAAACCCTTTTTTACAAGCTGTTTCAGCTCCCATTGAGGCAACAAAAAGGGAAAACACTTGGTACTGACTGTTATTATTTATTCTCTGTCATCCACAGATCCAGGCCCGTCTGGTAAAAAACAGCCTAAAGGCAAAAAGCCTGATGTGTCAGTGTCCTCCACACTCAGTGCTGCCCAGAGCACCGCCAGCACGTAGCAGCAGTTCCCCTCTTCTGACTGTCAAATATGAAGGACTGATATTTATTTTCTGTTGCTGTTCTTGTAGATATGGGTAGCGTTCTCATGTTGAATATATCCATAGTTTTTTTTTTTGTCATTTTATTGATTAAGTTACTTTTTGGCCTCTGTGAGATCATTTTCAGTGGTTTTCTGCAGTGTGTACAAGTGATTTTTTTATGCTACCAACAGATGGCAACCATGTGTCTTAAACATGGTGAATTTTTTTTCCAAAAGTAATACTTCATTGATGGCAATAATTTAAAACCAATGACAAGAATGGAAGAATTGAACTGATTTGTCATTAAGTTTTATCCTTAATATTTTAAATTGTCCATACAAAATCTCTTCACCATTAACCAGGTAATTTCCTAAAAGGCTGTTTAAAAAAACATGGAGTTTCTCTATTTCTTCTTTTCTCCTTTCTCTCCCTTTGGCACTCGGAAACGTGTCTTCTGAAGATACAGTAGGTTCTTCGCAAAGATCCTTGGTACATGGCCCATGTACAAGAGCAGAGCCAGAGTCATGCCTAGAAAACAGACATCCACTGTAAACACTGTTCACTTATAAAGAAATGATACACATATATGTCATTTTAATGTAAGTTACCAGTGAGAGGGCCCAGCCAGTAGACTACTGCGTACTGAGTCAGGGTAAATCCAGGACAGTGGAAGGTGAGGCCATAGGACAAGGAGGGATTCATGTAAGCTGAGGTGTAGCCTCGGGCTGCAAGAGGGAACGGACAAATACAGATGATGGTAGTCGCTCTTTATTAAACTGATGCTTTTAAAGTGGAAACAGATGCATAAGTCTATCAAATGACAGTTGAAACAGGGTCACACGCATGACTAATGTGAAGGTGGAGTCCGAGGAGCTCATTCTAGTGTGTATGAGTTTGTAAAAGCAGAAACTGAAGCACAGTCCTGATCATGAACATTAAAAAACTATTAATGAAATATTCTCCAGTAGAAGAGGTTAGTAACCACTTCATACACAGAGACATGAGAAAATATAGGTTGCAGGGGATTTAGGCTACTATTTAAAGTAAGAGACGGGCAGCACAGACAAAATTCTCAGTGCTTTTTTGCATTATGTAGCTGCAGAGAGACTGATTCTGATTTCTCACAGGGTTCCAGTATTTCAGTGACCCTTTGTTTTATTTGCAGAAGTTTTAAATTTTAGTATTCAAGTAATTTTCCTGTGCTCGTTGTCTCATATTTGCAAACACAAAGTTTCTTTGTATGAATGGACTTTGAACCCTTTCTTCGGTGATGATAAATCAGGGGCCAGGTTCACCTGACACGTACCTGTATGGGACAGGAAAGTGAGGAGGACGGCGATCAGCGGCACCCGGATCAGAGCAGATCTGCGCCGCAGGTTCAGATGGATGAGATGAAAGATGAGCGTGCAGACACACTCAGTGAAAAAACCCTGAAGCACAGACACCAGCAGAGATGTGCTGCACTCTCTCACCATCAGATTTTTGATCATGTGCATGTCAGTCAGCTCCAGACTCCAGTAGTACACAGCTGCAAGAAGGGCAAGGTGGGCCCCCAGAAACTGGGCCGCAACAGCAAGGACAGTGGGCAGGGTGTTGGCCTCCAGCTGCAGGAACTTCAGCACAACCAGGGTGGGATTCCCTGATGCAGCACCGCAGATCACGCTGTGGGTCAGCAGCACCACAAACAGTATGGTTAAAGTCACATCAGGCCCCAAGCCCCCGGCCCACTCCCCCACCTCCACAATGGTCTGCACCTCCAGCCAACACGCCACCAGCATGAAAGAGGATGCAAACTCCAAAATGAATCCAAACCGTGGCCATTTTTTGAGGAGAGTCCGAACCGAGGCTGCAAAAATGACAGCAGCCAGGAAGTATCCGAGAGATGCGTTCAGTCCAGACATGGCTCAGAACGGGTGTCACCAGCTGTTTCTTCTCCAAAAGAAATGAATGAGGGTTTGACTCAACAACTCTGCTGACTGTTTGGCAACGTGGCACATGCAGACACTTGTTATCAGTGACACGTCAGGTTTTTATCCCACAACCACCTGCCAAAATACACACGGAGTTTTAGTGCTTCTTTTATTTTTTTTTTTGAAATAATATATTTATTGTAACATCAACAAGTAAACAGAGACAGTCGTTGCTGATAATACTTGATCATAATTATTTATTTACTTTTTAAAAAGTCTATTTTTTTCTTTGACATATTTATGTAAAATAAATTGATTTCACAATGAAAATCAGTCTGCTTTTACTGACAATAAAATTATTGTTATAATTATTACTGAAAAAAGTATTCAATTATTTACAGTAAAATAATAATTGTAATAATTTTACAGTAGGAATAAATAATAATAATAAGAAGAATCTATGTTGTGGATAAAATTGCATTTCTTTCTATTCAAATATTTATGTAAAATAAATGAATTTCACAATGAATGAGTGCGCCTTCATTGACAGTAAAATTATGATTATTGAAAAAAAGTAATTTTGTTTTTGCTGTTAAATAATAATTGTAATAATTTTACAGTAGAAATAAATAAATATAAATAATCTATTTTGTGGATAAAAATGCATTTTTTTCTTTTCAAATATTTATGTAAGATAAATTAATTTCACAATGTATATCAGTGTGCCTTCATTGACAGTAAAATTATGATTATTATTGAAAAAAATGTAATTTTATTTTTTACTGTAAAATAATAATTGTAATAATTTTACAGTAGAAATAAATAAATATAAATAATAATTTATTTTGTGGATAAAATTCATTTTTCTTCCTGTTCAAATATTAATGTAAAATAAATGACTGACTGAAATAAATATGCTTTCAGTGACAATAAAATAATAATAGTTTATTATTATTATTATCATTATTATTACATTTTAAGTTTTTTAAGGAAAAGGCACTTTTGCTTAAAATATTTATGCAAAATAAATGACAATGAAAAACTATGCTTTCAGTGACAATAAATAATAGTTTATTATTATTATTATTATTATTATTATTATTATTATTATTATTATTATTTATTTTTGGGGGGAAGGGAGGTTTTTTATCAAAATATGTAAATTACTATTATCGATATTATTATTGCATTTGAAAAAGCATGTGAAAAAAGCCTTATTTTGTGTTAAAATATTGTAAATTACATAATTATTATTATCAATATTATTATATTCATGTGAAAAAAGCTTTTTATAATCAAAGTATTTATGTAAGCTAAATTATTCCCAGAGTGTAATTCAGTGTGTGTCAGTGACAGTAAAGTCACCACATGCTTTAAATTTGTTGAGCGCTCTGTGTCGGTGATGCTCCGACTAGAGGCGGAAGTTGTGAAACGTCGACGTGTGTGTGTGTGTGTGTGTGTGTGTGTGTGTGTGTGTGTGTGTGTGTGTGTGCGGCCAGTGAAGTGATGGCAGGGGAAGAGCCGACAGTCAGAGAGGAATGAGAACTTGTCGGGGATGGCGGACAAACCTCTGACGGTGTTCGTGAAGCTGTTTGCCGCTGGATTTTACGGACTGAGCTCGTTTCTCATCGTCGTGGTGAACAAAAGTGTGCTGACCAACTACAGGTAACGTTAACGGCTGTGCTAACGGCTCGGACGGCTCTAACGTTAGTTGGGGAGCTACCGTGTTAGCTAACCTAGCCCGTGGAAGTTTGATTGGCTAATAGCGGCGGAGCTCATTAAGCTAACAGCAACTTTTGGCTAGCGACGTTGCTCGAGCTGAAACAGGAGAGCTTCAGTTACAGCAGCACTGTAGCAAGCTATGTGTTAACCTAGCTTTGTTAAGGATGAGGTTAGCTAACGTGCTGTGTGCTCAGCTTCTAACTTTAGCTGTAACCTTCCAGTTACCAATGAATTATATATATATTAATCATTTAAATACACACTTTAAACATTTAGAAATATCGCAGACACAATCAGAGCATCCTGTTTACACTGTATAAACTGTCACATCCATCTACATCATGTGTACAAGCAACCTGTTACATTAGCTTATCATTACACTGCACTGTTGTCTTACTGTTTACAAACTTCATTGTGTTTTTACTTATTTATTTATTTACATCCATTCTGTACATAGTAGTCAAATGTTTACTCCATTCAGATTTGTTGTCCTTGTTATTAGCTGCATGTTTATTCTGTGTTTGTACATTGAGAGCAGCAGAAAACAGAGTGTGGAGTGGGGTGTGTTAGGGGTGGGAAAACAATCGATACAGCATAGTATCGTGATATTTATATCTTATCATCACAGTGCAAAGTATTGATTTTTCTAATTGTATGAATTATTTAATAGTACAAATACCAACTAGAATAGAATAATCAGTCCACTAGATACATTTTGCTGCTGCAAAAAAATGGCTTAAGTTTGATCAACAGACTGCAAACTAGGTTTTTCTTTGGGGAAATAATTTACAATTGTCGAACCAAGTAATAGGGTGGCACGGTGGTGTAGTGGTTAGCACTGTCGCCTGACAGGATTTTTGTCCAGGTACTGCGACTGGGATAGGCTTGACTCCCCCCTGCAACCCTCAAGGGGATAAGCGGTTAAGGAAATGAATGAATGAAAACAAGTAATAAACTGCAATGTGTTTTGTCGCAACGCTCAGCATATCGCAACATATTTAAAATCGCAATAATGCTGTATCAAGTATCGTGATAATATCGTATCGTGGATCCGTTGGTGATTTCCACCTCTGGAGTGTCTGCAGGCCCTTAAAAGTCTTACAGCGTCTTGAATACATTTTATTTTGTAAATATTAGGCCTTAAATGTCATTAAATAGTCTTAAATTTTAATTTTTGTGAGGTCTTAATTGACATTTTATCTCATTTCATTTAATCATCAGTCAAGATCTTCTGTGTGAAAGTCCACATTTATGATCCTACAAATCTTTAAACCTAACGCTGAACCTAATGCTGTCTTTTTACTGTCTACCTGCACTTACCTGTCGCCAAAATGTAGATTAATCTACTCACTCTAATAACCACCTCCCTACAAAAAACCTTCTCTCAAAGTCCGCTCCATGTTGAGTCTCAGATGCTTCTGTCAGAGAGGAGGTTTTGCCTCCCTTAATGTAACATGAAGCGTTATAGATCGTCCTTTGTTCCACTGACAGTGTGTGATGCTGGATTATGTGTGTCAGTATTGTATTGTCTGTTTTGTTTTACTTACGACTACTGTCTGTATCTCAAATTGCCCCTCAGGGACATTTAAGTTTTACCTCACTTTACCTTACCTCTGCATGGAATTGCATACTACTTACTGTCATTCCTTGAATAAGAAAAGGTTGATTTGTCCAAAAATCAGTTGGTTGGAAGAGGTATTAAGAAGCGTTAAATCTAAGTGTCAGATCTGTCCATGCACACTTAAGTTACTCGGCCATTAAAGCTGATTCTGTTTCACTGGGACTAACGTGAACTCAACTCCGCTCTTCCAGGTTCCCCTCCTCAATATGTGTCGGAATTGGACAAGTAAGTTGAATGCTTTCCCGTCTTTCTTCAGTGATCGTCACCTGCTGAAATCAGTCAGAGTTTAAGTTGCTTCCTGTTAACTGTGTGTGCAGATGTTGGCCACAGTGGTTGTGCTGTGGGTGGGCAAGGCTGCGAGGGTGATCAGCTTCCCAGACTGTGATGAGAGCATACCTCGCAAGGTGAGACAACCTTTCCATCAATGAAATGATTTCCAGTTCACCATGATCAGGGCAGTGATTTCATTTACGTTCACCTGGTTTTACAGACGTTTCCTCTACCTCTCCTTTACGTGGGAAATCAAATCACTGGTCTGTTTGGAACCAAAAGGCTGAAGTAAGTCCTCATCCCTAAACTATCTAGGCCAAATGATGGTGAAGGGGAAATTCATTCGGTGCCATCATGAGCTCATTGGGCATGGCTGTTAATGTTTGGCTGAGTTAAAGCAACTTATGTCCTCTTCCACCAGTCTGCCGATGTTTACTGTCCTCAGGAGGTTCTCCATTCTGTTCACAATGCTGGCTGAGGGATTTCTTCTCAAGTAAGATGGCCCATGGCAGATAACCCACTTTTCTCAGTCATTTACTGGTCCTATTACTCACCGGGACACAAAGCTGCCCTTTATGTACTCTATTGTGGTTTTTATTCACATCTCAAAGCAGCCAGCTAGAATTTCATTGCTCTACTGTCTTTCACCTTTGCCAGAAAGAAGTTCTCCAGGCCAGTCCAGCTGACAGTATTTACAATGATCCTCGGGGCGTTCATAGCCGCAAGGTACGTTCTACTACATCCAGGTGTCCTGGCTGTAAAGCAACCACAATTACCTTCGCTACAAAGGGTTGTCCTGTCCTTATTTATGTCCTCTCTAAGTGATATTGTCTTCAGGGTCATTAGACACATGTTATACTCCTGCAGTTAAAGGAGCCTGAAGCTAAGTTGTTAGTGACAGAGCACCTATTTACTTCCTAAACACTTTCCTTCATTTTCTCTCGTCTCTGTTCGTAGTGCTGACTTGTCCTTTGACCTGCAAGGGTACGTGTTCATTCTCATGAACGATGTGCTGACTGCAGCCAATGGAGCCTATGTGAAACAAAAATTAGATGCTAAGGTATGTGGCAGCGCCATCTTGATGAATATAACCATTGTTGGACTGGAGCTGTTTTTGGCATTGAGCTGATGTTGGTGGATATAGAAAACCCAAACTGTCTTTCAGTGTCTGGCTTAAGGGAACTCTGTGTACATAAACACCATGAGTGGTTCTTTTTATTCCCCTCTAAGTTGGTTATCGCTGTTTATACTTGTTTTTGCAGAGCAAGTATCACCAAACCTCTGCTTTACTGTTTATTTAGCATGTTTTCTTGCATTATTTATAACAGTCAGGTCACTTACTGTGTGACTGTTGAGTCTGAAATGGCTTGTAGCTTGTTTTAGTCGTTTTTTTTTTTATGTCACATGCTCAGCTCTCACATTACAGTAGACGCTGAACTGGGTCCAGATTTAGTCTGTGATGTCTGTAGTGCACCATCTGCTATGGCACAAGACAGAGAGGTGTGTGTGAGTGATATTACAAGGGAGTGAAAGATGGAGCCACGTGAAGCGGAATCAGACTAATGCAAACAAGAGGCTCTAGGTAGTGCAGTGGGCTGGCCATGCATGACATCTGTATGCTAGTTAGTGAGGAATGTACTGAAAGACTTGTGAATAACCCTCTCTGTTCTGCTTATTTTTCATGTTGCCGTTTCTCCATCTGTTTCTATGCTCTTTCTCACAGGAGTTGGGGAAATATGGATTACTGTATTATAATGCATTATTTATGATAATTCCCACTCTTGTGTTGGCTCATGTGACTGGGGATATGCAGAAGGCAAGTAGTTCGACTCCTCTCTTGTTTGTGCTTTCTCCTCTATGCAATCTATTTCTAATTATCTTCATTTAAAACCTCTAAAGATGTTTATTCATAGAAGATGTATTTATAAGATTTGGAAAATGAAAGTGTTTGAACAGCAAGTCTTTGTAGTTAGTTTACGGGGTTGGTAGTGATCCGTGATTGCGAGGTTTAATCCCAAATTGAAGTGAATTCACATGTGTTTAAGTGTGTGAGTGTGTGCCGTAAATATGGGCTGTCTGTTAGTTGGTCAGTGTTGGCAGAGACCTTCTGGTTTGCCCAGCTGGGGCCCAGCAGCCAGAAAGGCACAAAGCTGCTATTATGCACCTAGTAGAGTTATTACAGCAGTGCCTACAGCCCCCTTTGACTGAAAAACCTCAGTATAGATACAGACTACTACCTTTTTAAAGCTATTGGAAACGCAGTGTTGAATTTGTAAGTGCGTAAGTATTAGTTGTGTCTTGCCGTCCAATTTCCTAAACAGTTCTGCATTGCTCAGTTAATCCTTCCTTCCACTTAACGCCAGACCAGACACATCTCTAAGGACCTGAATATTTTGACCATAAATGATCTTTGATACACAACTGCCTACATAACCAGCTTTACTCCTGTTTTTATATGCTTTTTATGTGTGTGTTTTCACTCACAGAATTCTGTTGTTTCTGCTTCTCTTGTCAGGCAGTGGAATATGAGGGTTGGTCCGACATGATTTTCCTCGCCCAGTTCATCCTCTCTTGCATCATGGGGTAAGAAAGCCAAAGCTCATGTGTGACGTGCATGCATGCGCAAGGATTGTGTGGGTTTTGTTTTTTTGCCAACATTGAACATCTGGATTGTACTAATGTTTGTGGTATTGCTACTATCCCAGTGGTTTAAGATTGTAGGCCACAGTTCGACTAAGTTTGACGCTCACAAAGACTCTTTGTCAAGTCTGGCTACCATGTTGCGTCAACATTGTGAAAATCTGACATGTTGCTTCAAGAAGTGTTGAGTCATTTGTAATATGATAACATGTTTGTTTTGCAGGTTTGTTCTGATGTATTCCACTGTGCTTTGTACGCAGTACAACTCTGCATTAACAACTACGATTGTGGGCTGCATCAAGGTAAACTGCAGATCTGTGTGTGAAGAAACAGTTAAATGCACTGAAAGAAAAGGTCTGTTGTTTAGGATTAAATGGTATTTAATATTTATAATTATGTTTTCATTAGTTAATAATCACCTGAAAATGCCTTAGACTGAGCTCTTTATATCTACATACGGAGCGGGTCCTCGTCCTCAGAGTCTGCCATGTTGATCTATAGCAGCCCAGAGTTGAAAAATCAAAGACAGGCTCTAGATAGGGCGATTCACGTCCAAATATCTGGCAAAGAAAAGTGAATAAGCACCAGGTATGACAGGTGAGACTGATGAGTGAGGTAGACTAATGTTTGCAAATAAAACCTGTTGTAATGGGCTCAGTTTTAAAGCCACAGTGAAGACACTGGTATCATATTAAACTAGAGGACCTAGGGCATGTATTGGTACCAACCATGACATGCTAACTTGTTGGAAAAGGGGCCAGAAGCCATATACTTTCAAACTATTCCAGTTCTGCACACAAATTGACCTATATTTGATTAAAGTAGTAGTTTTTTCATTCATGATTTGGTCTTCTAATACTTGCAGTAATTTCTTCAGTCAGTGTTTGATTTTACTTTTCTCTAACTATTCATTGGAGGACATTTTTTGGCCAAAAAAGCAAAACAAAATACATGTGGAAATGTGATGAACTGGATTATAACTGCAGGAAGTATAAAATTGTGCATAGTGATTTAACCCCGTGGGTGTGCAAGAAGGGCCCACTTTGGAAAATGTTGTCCCCCTGCCCATATTTCCTAAAGACTGGTCTGTTCGGCTGCATATAAAATACAAATTGGTACTTGAAAAATGTGATTAGATTTCAAATAGGCTCCTATATGCAGATACGTTCAACCTTTTAGATTAAATTGTGCTCATTTTTGACTGTTTTCTGAATGTTATTTTACTTTTAGATTAGTTGACTAAACTTCCATTTAAACATCAGGGAAATTAAGTCGTCAGGAACATCTCTACTTCTTTTGCCAACTATACTGAAACAGTTATATAACAAGTTTACTACACTTTGTGTGCCGTAAAGCACTATGCTCCTCTCCCGGTAGATCTTACCAGTTCATTAAAGGTACATAGTGCAGGAACAGGTGTTTGGGGTATGAAGTTGGAATGACAGAGGCGCAAGTCTCCCTATGTGGGCCGTCTAAATCAGTGGTTCCTGACTGGTCCAACCATGGGTTCCAGATTTGTCCTTAGTCTTTAGTTCAAGGTCCACGCAGTTAATATATTCAGTGTCATACTTGCATTTGAATATGTCGTCGAGCTGGTTTACCGTCTCTGTCAAGTAGCTGTCCATTAATTGCTCACTCTACAGCAGGAGATGGTACTTCAAGATAAAAGCTCTGTGCCGAAAATTCACTGTACTTCAAAATAAAGTGTGTTTTTTTTACAAACTTGTCATGTTCGCGAGTCACTTGTGGTCCATTTAGAAAGGAACCGTGACCCACCAGTTGGGAACAACTGATTTAAATGATGTTGAAGGTGTTATACGGAGGGGAAAAGTTGCATAATGTTGCTTTAATTAGCTTAATTAATACTTTCTCCATTTTGCAGAATGTGCTGGTGACATACATTGGGATGGTGTTCAGTGGAGACTACATCTTCTCTTGGACTAACTTCATAGGTTTGAATATCAGGTATGAAATGACAGGTTTATTTCCTAATTAATGCTGAATTATCCAGTTGTCATCATAGATGGATAGATTTTTTTGGGCCGTTCCATGTTGTTTTGGGGCTCTGTGCAGAGTTTCTCCCCAACAGAAAGCCTCACCCATCTGGCACTCAGCACTTTGGCATTGCGTAGTCACACAGCAGATTGAGTCAGTTACATATAAACAGAAAAGCGAACTGTAAATCCCATATCATATCATACCACGCTGTTTTTTAAAGCCACGTTAGCAACATGCTTCTATAGATAGAAGCATCGCTTGGTTGGTCCACCATTTTAGTACAGACTCAATTATCTCAACAACTATCGGATGGATTGCTATGAGATTTGTCACTGAGGAACTTTTGTTTGCCACAAGGCTTATTATACATGTAGCTTCTTAGTTTGAACTTAGTTCTCACCATTGTTCTCGTCTCTGGTTGTAGACAACAACTAAAATAGCAAGGGAGGGTCCACTGTCACTGAGTCAGACTAGTCCTCCCTAAACTATGAAATCCCAAATGATGCTTGTCTCTGTTGAGCAAAGACAGAGGTCAGTGCTGACACTGGTATTACTGATACTAGTGTGCCAATCAGCTGCAGGAATTTACATGTGCATGTTGGAGCTTGTCTGGAAACATGATGAATTTTGTGATGCGTTGCAACATGTTCAACTTTATGCTGATAATGACAAATGACAACTTGATTTTCAAGCCTCATTCTGACAACTACTATCAGATGAAAGTTTTTTTAGCCTCTGTGACATTAAAGCTGGGGTGTGAAGTTTTCTGGAAAAGGTAAAAAACAAAACAAACCCAAAAATAGGCCAGAATTTGAGAATGCAGCCCTTCTCTTGCAGCTCTCCTCTCCCAGTCCCTCCCACCAGATAAGCATGGGCATATACATGTGCATCATACAGTAACCTTCCAATGCTCCTGACAGAACACAGAATAATAATAATAATAATAAGGCTACTTCACAGTGGCATCAAATTGGGGATTTTACATGGTATATAACCACAAGGGGTCAGTGCATCTTCATCAGTAAATCACTAATATGGAGATGGCTTAACAAGTAGCAGGTCACATGACCAGGCTAGGCTGTCGGGAGTTGCTTCGTTACACTACTGAGTTCAGTTCAAGTCCTTGCACTATTATCAGCAACGTGACAGATACAGGCTATCTGATATTGATATGTCAGGGTATTTTTACGATAAGGTTATTCTTTTCGATAAGTCAAATCAGTAAAAAGAAAAATATATACACATATTAATTTAAGACCATAGAACTGCAGCAAAACAAGTGATCTATTTTTACACTTCGCTTCAAATATTCAGTAAAAACTAAACAAAAATGATCTCTCATTTCCATAGTTTGTGAACAACAACAGTAACTCAGAGTAGTAACTCAGTAACTCAATATTAATAGTTCAACTAAATAAAATCCACCACAAATTACACATTTAAACAGCTCCCAAATACAAAAAGGTCCCCTGGGATATATATATATATATATATATATATATATATATATATATATATATAAATAAATCAACAGGTGATTCCCTTCTTTCAGTAAAATCCTAAATGATTGAGTTGGGGTTTTTTTTCCACCTGGACCTTTATGCTCTGCCATTTCTCCTCTAATCATCACGCTGTAACCTGTGACAGGCTGTTCTGCCACGATAACTACTACACATTAGTTTTTGTTGAGCTGCAAGCGTCTCATAGGTTTACATTACCAAAGGTTTATGACAAAATCAGTTGACGACACTGACTCCTGTGTGCACACGGCGAGACAGGAGAGGGAGAGACGCTGTGCTGCTGCCAGAGGAGCCGCTGAATGAGTTCCCTCTGAGCGGTAAGTCGCTAGAAGAGTCTGAGAAGTCCGGAGCTGTTCATAAAACATACGCCACAGTTTATTTCACACTACTGAAGCTGCTCCTTTTTGTGGAACCACCATAGAGTCAGTAATAATTTTGCTTTCAGCCATGCTTGTTGTTGCCGTTGATAACAGTATATCATTATGGCAACAAGTTGAAATATTGTGGGTATCACAATATGAATTTTTCAGATGATATAAAGAATTATACCAGTATTATCATGAGCAAGATGATATGGCACACCCCTAATCTGAATTTAGGAAACACAGTCAGTAACTAAACAGGCAACAACAGAAAGATAACAACTTGTAGCTTATAAACAGTGTTACACATCTGGTCATTGATAAAGTTGAGCACCTCGTGGGTTAAGCTGTAAGGTAAGGTAAGGTAAAACTTAAATGTCCCTGAGGGGCAATGTAAGATACAGATAGTACTTCTACAACAAAACAGACAGTACAATACATCCATTACAGTCCAGTGTGACACACTGTCAGGGGTAAATCATGGACAGTTAGTGGCCACTGCTGGTAAAGATAAGTGATAGCAGACGGGACAAAGGACGATCTGTAACACTTAGTGCTACATTCAGGGAGGCAAAACCTCCACCCTGATGGAAGCATCTGAAACTCAACATTAGCTTGCTAATTATCATTATCATTATTATCCTCATCATTATCATTATTATCATTATTATTTATGATAACCTAGATTGTTACTGACTGTTGTAACAAAGGATAATGACAACAAGAATGGAAGAACCACCCTGTTTCCTTTGCCAACTCTTGGACCTGTAAAGCTCTTTATAATTACACAGTGTGATTCGAGACTTGAGCTAGCTTCATAGATATGAACCTGAATTAGCTGCAGCTGTGAGCCTTTGGCTACAGTTAGCAGAAGGCTAAACTATTAGCTTCCATCTCTAGCTCTAGCTCTCTAGCATGTTTTGTGTTCATAGTCACTCTCTTCTAGACTTTTTTTTTTATTATTATTTTTAGATAAGTCCATCTCTCTGTTTATGGTTGCTTTGCAGTGCAGGCACTTGTTGCCAGTGCTAGCAACTTTTTCTGCAGGATTCTCTGACATTGAATTAGGCTTTCACTGAAGGGACGTGCAGCTGCATTTGTAGACCAACCAGTAGGAACACCCTCCCTCTGAAATGACCTGTGATTGGCTAAAGTCTCCCATCACGGCCTATATTTTTTAAATCCAATCCAATCCACTATATTTATATAGCACATTTTGCAAATCATAGACGAGATTTAAAAGATTTGTCATGGGATGGAAGTGCATTCCACAATTTAGGTGCTGCAACTGAAAAAGCACGGTCACCTCTGGTTTTCAGTTGTGTCATAGGGACCTCAAGTTGCAGCTGGTCAGAGGAGCACAGTGACCTTGGGGGAGTCTTAGCACGAATAATGTCACAGAGGTCCTGAGAACAGAGTCAAGAGGAGGTGCAGAAGTCTAGTTTTCTCTCAGTTCACTTGAATTACAATATGCTCAAAGTTTCAAACACCTGATGATGAAAACCAGTTTTTCATTGTTCAGTTTTACACATGAATCTCAGTAAACACAGTGATGACCAGCCTTTCAGAAGGGTTTCAGAAGGGTAGGGCTGCACGATTAATCTAATTATTATCAGATGTGTCACAACATGCTATTATGAATGAAGCATTGTTTTGCCACGGAGATGCCCTGACCTACAAATCATGTTCCAGACAGAAGGGAACATGCATGTTTGGTACAGACCATGCTTAAAAATCTTTCTGGGGGGAGTTCAAAAGTTGTTTTCTGTGGCCTGTCAAATAAATCCAGTGCTGGAAAATGATTTAAATCTTTTTAATTACTTAAGCATTAATCATATTTCTGCACATAGCACACCAGAGAGGCCAAAGGAGAGGAAGGAACGAGAGACACTCTGTCTGTGTTTTATAGCCTACGTCTTGTATATGAAATGTCTGTGGTGTCGCCGCATTTTTTAAACAGATCTGTCGCCTGCATCCAGGCGCTGTCTCAGTGTCGCACATTAGACCACAACTACCAAGAAGAATGGCGACGGTGCTATGATCCACCGCACACACAAACTAGCAGTGCAGCGCTGGACAGCACATGTGCTGAGGTCATCTCACAGACTGACTTACAGTAGCACGTGCAACATATAGACTGATGTCGCACTGTAGATTAATGAACAGACAGATTAAACAGAGGAGCAGCTCTGTGTCTCTCTGAGTGTTGCTGGAGAACTTGTGTGTGTGTGTGTGAGTGAGTGGGGCGGAGCTGTGCAGAGAGAGAGATGCACACTGGTATGCGTTACGTAATGCAACTTGAACCTATATAAATATAAACAGCGTGATCTTGATTGAAAATGTGTCCATATATTGTACATAGTCGTTATATTGCCCAGCCCGACTGCAGCCTCACAGAGGGTCAGATTAAATGCCAACATTAACGTGTGTTAACCTTCATTCAGTGATCTTGTACAGGTGTGTTTGTATACTTAAACACAGTGTCTGTCTGTGTTGCAGTATTGCAGGCAGCCTGGTGTACTCCTACATCACCCTCACAGAGGAGCAGTCCAACAAAGCAAGTGAAAGCACCAAGCTGGACATCAAGGGCAAGGTGGTTGTATGACAGAGACACTGGATCTAATTATTTTTATGCTGATGAACGAGAAAACTCTATTTTTAGTACGACTTTTATTTATGGAGTATTTTAGCAGCCGAGGCGTGGGATGATGGGAACTGTGCTGGGGAAAACGTCTGTGTGTGTGTTTGTGTGGAAACAGAGCCACACGGTCACCATGACTCTCCTGCTGCTGCCATGGTTACAAACCCTCCAGAGGGATTGTGGGTTGTTTTTTTTAAGATGGTGTTTTCTTTTTAAATATTTGTATTTTGATACTGTACATGTGAGCATTGAGAAGAAGGGAAACGTGGAACCAATATTATTTATCTTACAACATTTTTTAAACACTTAGACAAACTGAACGTTAAAGCGTTGGGATGATGTAATGTTTCCTGAATACAGGAGTGAACAGCTGGCATCAGTGGTTATTTAAGCATGGGTGTGTACTGACGAATGGTGGGACTATTAAGTAATGGCTATTTTAAAGGCACAATCCTTATTTTTTATTGCCTTTTCGGTTTTGCTGTTTACAAGGAATGTAACTTCAGCTGCCTTCTAAGCACAGTGAGATGCACTGACACTGTCATTATCTGTTGTTTCAGTCTTAAGTACATTTCTTTTGATTTTTGCGCATACACTGTTATAAGCTTGTTACGGACGAACGGTAATGACAGTGATCTAACCTCATCCTTCAAACAACCAAAGTGGATGGGCAGTGAGTGGGCCGTCAGTTCCCATCAAGGATTGTGGCTTTAAATAAATGTTGTTGCCTTCTTTTGGGAGATAATTTTAAGATTACAGTTTACATTTTGCTCCCTCAGTATTACAGAATGTTTGTTGTGACTGGTCCTCTCTATGCAGACTTATCAAACTTAGTTTGTTATGTGTACAAGGGGATCCATGTGTTCTTTTTTTTTCTCTTGACACAATGTTGACGCACTTTTAACTGAGGTAGCGCCTGCAAAAGGGTGAAACTGATTTGCCTCACCTGTTACATTCATTGTTGGGATTGAGATTATTGTATTCTTCTGAAATGTACGTTTCAGGTTTTTTAAGTATTACAAAAGAGACGTGGTTTTCTAAACCTTTAATAGTCAGGTACAAGCGTTGACTTTTTCTTTTTTTTTTTTTTTTTACATTTTTATGTACATCATTTTATATTTATTACTTTTTTTAGACTAATATTCATTTTGTAGGTGGAGTGGCTTGTGAATTGTTGATGTTGATCTCATCTCAAACACAGTAACCATGGATTTGTAGCTGAAACACAGTGATGTATTTTTACATTAAAAAAAACACCTTGTTGACACGACGTATTCTTTTGGCTTCGTTGTTCAGGTTGTGACTATAAAGTGACTTCTCGGTGATCTTCAGGTTACTCTATTTTCTCCAGTGTCCTCTGATATCCAACTGGTCTCATTTAAATTAGTAATTCCATTTATATTTGTAATATTTTTTAGTCCATCTATTGTCATTTAATCTTGGATAATTCAGTGCAGTTCTGTAACTGAACCTCTGTTTGTATTTGCAGCTGATGATAGACAACAGTAAAGAAATGGTTCCCCCTTCTGGCCAAATATGTGACATCACATTGGACCCACAGGAGTAATTCTGCTGCACAAATAAAATCAGGGTTAAGTAAGTTTTGCCTGAGCAGATATCAGACACTTACATTTAATGCAGTTAGGTTTTTTTGTACCAAATTTAAGACTGATTTTTGGACAAAACACCTTTCCTATGCGTCTGTGCTGGCAATAACTGCGGCCAGAGGCAGTATGTATTTGGGTTGTCCATCCGTCCCGTTCTTGTGAACACGATATCTCAAGAATATCTCGAAGGAATTGTTTTAAATTTGGCACAAACATTCACTTAGCCTCAGCAATGAACTGAAAGATTTTGGTAGTCAATTGCGACCTCACTGCGACCTCCCAAAAGCCATAACTCAAGAATTCATCCACTAATTATGACAAAATTTCACACAAATATCTAACAGGATATAACGATAAAGTAATGACATGTTACATCCAGGATGTCAAAGGTCAACATCACCGTGACATCGTAATACTTTCTGGCCATTCCTCAACATCACATCTCAGAGGGGGAACATTTGGTCAGATACTGAATTGGTGTGTGTGAAGCATCCATGTGTCCACAGGCATGTAAAGTGCAGCTTGACTGGTTTGCGGAGGCATACAACCACAAGGCGGTAATTCTGGTGTTTTTCAGTCATTGCAGGTAAGTAGTATATATGTGGTCCAATGCAGAGGTAGGTTTGATGTTGGTATATGGTTGAGTAACATTACATTTGCAAACAGGTAGGTGCAACTAAGTAGAAAGACAGTACTTAAAGACTTTCACACAGAAAAGCTTTAAAAGATGGGTAAATAAATTAGTCCAAATATTTGTGACAATTAGGACATCACAAATTCAAACGTAAGACTACTGAATTACTCAAGGCCTCATGTTTATAAATTTATTTTAAGTAATTTTAAGAACCTGCAGACACCCTGGCAAATACTACAAATTAATCTAAATATAAACAAGGAGAAGTTGAAGCACAAAACTGAAGCACAAAACTGAGAGAACATGTTTTAATACAAAAAACAGACCATACATGTCAACATAATTTATGATACATTCCCACTACCAACCACTACTAATAGCTCATGACCTCTGACCTCACTGGCCTTCAGGCAACTCACATTCAGTATAACACAGTCCAGACTACACTTACAACCCATCATCTCATATCAATAAACCGGTATAAATATACACAAATTAGTGTAAAGTGGTAAAAAGGAAACAAATACAGCTTTTGCATTTATTCACAAAACTGTCAAATGATTTGAATTGAGATTTTATATTAATGTAAAGAGGCTGAGCTAACAGGCAACATACACAAAATATAATATGTTCAGTTTAAAACTAGGTAATATTGCATTGTCTTTGCAAGTTATGGGCACATAATAAGCACCTTCATCAGTCCAGTCGAACCAAACAAAACAAAAAAAGAAAATGTTTCAGAGAGAGGTTTCAGGATCTGCTGCCTCTGCTCTGATGACATTAGTGTTGTTTGTGATGGTGTGTTTTACCTAAAACGTGGCATGTTACAGGCCAACACAAACACAGACTAGAAAAACAGGAAGAGGAGGCAATACATTGTTAGAAGAGTTTCACCAAGCAGTTACAAAAAGGAGCACCGAGGGGCTTGTTAGTGATGTGACCGCAGATCCTTTCTGCACACAAAACAAACAATGCAGAAACATTCAAACTGAAAATTAAAGCTCTGACACCTGAGAAGTTTACTGCAGGATCACAACTCTAGTGCAATTACAACTTAACTCATTTGGCTTCAGCTCTGGTCATGGCTGCATCATTTCCCCACAGCTCAGTAACGTTTGGACACATATGGCACATGGAGGTGTTAGAGAACAAGGCAAAACACACCTGAATAATTTCAGCTAAAGCCCCGACAGCTTTGCAAATCTTTAAATTCCTTCACCAATTTATATATTGATCTGACGTAATTTTCAGTTGAGGCACGCTGCAAGTTAACGACATACGTGGAGATCACACGGGATGAGTAAAGTGTTGAGTGCAGAGATATCATTCAGGTCTTTATATACGAAGCTCCACGAAAGGTTTTCGTTCTGAGCTAGTACTTCCACAGAAGTTATTTTACAAGACTGAAAAATTAGTTAGTCTGTGCTACTATTATTTGTCTTAATGACCCACATCATCTCAATAAGTCTTAACACTTTCTATCATACCATCCTTTCTACTCACAACTAGATCAACCTGCTGTGCAACAACAAATCTTGTAAAGGAGCAACGGTCTTTGCTCCTTTACAAGGCAACAAGCTGGAGCTCTGCATGTACTCCAATAAAGTCGAACTGCAATGTACAAATGAACAAACCACTGGTCAAAGTGTGTTTAGGATGGGCTACAGACAGTACTGTGAACCACATAGTAAAAATTCCTGAACACATCTTTTTCATACCAGCAGCCAGGGCAGCTTAAGATAGCACAGCTTCTCACTTTACCTCACAGGTGCTCTAAGGTTAACATAAACCTAAGCCGGACAAACCTGTGTCACTGGATTGAGAACAAAGTATTCAAACTGCACCCAAACAGGAAGAGCAGGACTAAGCAGCATGGAAGCAGTTCATAAAGCTGTTTAATAAAGACACCTTTCTTTAGCTTACATATAATAAGGTGCAACGCAGTGAGCTAATTTCAGCTATGGAGTTTCTGGTACTCCAAGTTTTATTTTTAAAAAACATCCCTTATATTTAGGTTCCTGAAAGGTACCGTATCGTAATTGTAAAAGGAAATAATAAAGGCCGCCACCTGCCTCAGCCACACTAGGTGAAAGGTGAGACATTAGTCATTGCAGGAACTGATTTATCTCCCTCCGACCTTCAGGAGAGAAATGTAGCTTTAGTGACGCTGATTGTCTAAAAACAAATAAAACAGAAGGGCCAAAGTCGAGGCATGGAAGCTGTATCCTTTCATTATTCCCCAAGAACAGCGAGGCTTACCTGACTTTTGTATCTCACAACTAATAAGGCAGATAGAGAGAGAGACTTCAGGTATTAAATATATAACTTATGCTTTGATACAAAAATGAATTTAGATTTATAAGAGTGATGAAAGAGGGGGAGGGGGAAACAGTCCAGCTGCAAAGTGTCACTTTAAAGTGTACCGAGGTTCTCAGCCATGTAGCACAGACTGTAGAAGTTGCAGCATATGCAGCAGAGGTTACAGAGCGAGGACAGCAGTCTGTACAGCCACAGACGACCGCTCAGGTGTCTGTATTTGACATCCGTCTCACACAGCTTGGCATAAGCTTCACGGTTGGACGACAGGCCGATGTCCTGACCCAATCCGCACGCCTGCTCAATAAGGTGCATATCTGCCATGATCTCTGACGTCATTTGGCCAAACCACTGAGCGTTCACAGCCGCAACCGTCACCGACACAAAGAAGATGAAGATCTGGTGGGGAGAGTAGAGTCAGAGATTGAAGTAATATTCTACGATGGGTTTTATGCAGTGTGATGATGTGGAATGAACACACCTGGAAGGCTTCTCTGTCGTCCAGCAGGTCGCTGGGATGATACACAGCGTAGATAGTGAGGTTAAAGAAGGCACAAGCTGAACCCAGGTGGAGGTAGAACGGGACGAGACGACTCTGGATAAACCCATAAGTGTGTCTGTTCAGGTGGTTGTCCATCACAAAGCCTGTGCAGAGAGCAGAACAACTCGTTAACACTGCAGGGGGCCTCCTGTCTCTTGTCTCCATAAAATATCAGGGTTTCTGCTGCAATTTCAGACACATACATGAATCCAAATGCTTGATGCGAGCTCTACCTTACTCCTCTGCTCTATGGTTTTAAGTGGACTGTTAAAACAACTGTGTTTGCAAGAACACAGCCACAATGGTTCACCACAGTCATCAAACATGACAACACATAGACTTTGTGGTTAAATATTAGCAGGATGCACAGGTGTTGGAATGTACTGAGGGTTAGAGCTGCAACGATTAGTCAAGTAGTCGTCAACTATTTAATTAACTGCCAAGTAAAATTGATTTATCTGTTTCAAATTCTCTTATTCCAGCTTCTTAAATGTTTATATTTTCTGGTTTCTTTACTCCTGTATAACAGTATACTGAATATGTTTGGGTTGTGGATAAAACAAGGCATTTGAGGACGTCATCTTGGGCTTTGGGAAACATCAACATTTTGAAACATTTTCTGACACTTAATAGACCAAACAACTGAATGATTAATAAAGAAAATAATCGACCCTGGAAATAATCATTAGTTGCACCCCTACTGGAGGGTCAGGAGGACATGTTTTAGTTAAGAATATAACTGGAGAATGATGTAGTGGTGCGCTCATGGACTGTCTTTTTCACATGAAAAAAAACACAGATGCTCTTGAAGAAAATGGTCAGCACATGGGAAGAAGAAATTAAGGCACTCATTGGAGCAGGAACAAATGCACTTGAATTAAGTTAAAAAGCCTTTATTCAAAAAACATGGATGCCTACATTTACATTACATTTTTTTGCACCCTGATGAAGTCCTTCGAGTGGAAACTGGTCAGTGTTTTGATGTAAGCAGCCATGTTTTTGGAATAAAGACCTTTTTTTAAAAAAAAAACTTAATTCAAGTCCATTTGTTCCTGCTCCACAAGAGTGCCTGAAGTTCAGTTTGGATCGCACGTAGATCTTGGATAATTGGTGCCTGAGCTACAACAAAAGCAAGTCTGGATCTGGATGTCGGCATGAAGGCGACCATGAAA